TGGAGATAATGCATTGACTTGGCTCCACAGGAATGGCACCGGGGCTCCACATTCTTGTGGTTATCTGCTGATGGCTTCCCAGGGCCAGCAGTGAGCCCTGAGGAAAGCATGTGGACCAGGAAGCAGGAAGCTATTTTCTCTCTCTGCTTCAGGGGAGATGATGAGTGCTTTGCAGAGGAATGTAAGACCTACAGTATTCTGTAAACTTCTACTAATATGTGAGTTAGGACCCTGAGACAGTTTTCAAACAGGGCCACTACTTTCTGTTTCTAAAAGGAGCGGACCTAATCTTGTCTTAGCAGCTGAAAGTCAAACAGCCAGCAAACCTGAGGTCAATTTCAGCACCCTTTAGGATCTACGGTGGCATCCGAGAATGAACACATTCAGACACTGTAATTTTTCAATGTCATTTATTTAAACCAAAATCCATTTATATTTTCAATGGGGGGGGGGGGCGGGATTTCAAAGATATAAAAATATATTCATATTCAGAACAAACAATTTTGTTCAATTTCTATAAAAAATGAAACTACATTTTTTTGGGGGGTGAACCCTGTAACATGGGAAATTGCTTCACTGAAATTCAAATTTCCACATGCAAAAACTAACTCATTTTGTTTGGGGATTGACTGAAATGGCTAAGGAGCCCAATAGAATAAAATAATTAATTTGTCAGGCCCTGGATGGGTAGCTCGGTTGGTTAGAGTGTCATCCAGATATGCCAAGGCTGCGGGTTTGATTCCTGGTCAGGGCACATACAAGAATCAACCAATGAATGCATAAACAAGTGGAACAACAAATCTCTCTCTCTCTCTCTCTCTCTCTCTCTCTCTCCCTCTCCCTCTCTCCCTCAAATCAATAAATAAAAACTTAAAAAATAATTTGTTAAAGGCGAAAGGCGAACACTGTAATCACAGTTGAGACTTTGGGAATAGTCAGTGCATGAACAAAGTAATAAGATCTTTGCTGCCTCACGAGGACTTCAAACTTTTGAAGCCGTTTCAAAAGTACGTTGTGTTATTTTGGTGACTGGCATGGTTTTGCTTATGTATAAAAATCAGAAAAAGTGGCTTATCTGCTTAACAGTTTCCAAGTTTGTTGCATCTAAGGTGGATGGGTTTGCCCAAGAACTCGGTGGGGAGGAAGCACTGTGGATATAGGTTTCTTCAGAGCTGCAGCATTTTCAGATTATTGCAAGTTCACTTCATAAAATACTGCAATTTACTTTCTTTTTTGATAAATCTGTATTTTTGTGTATATGGAGTCAGGTTTGTGGATATAACCTAACTAAACCCCAGACAAAATCAACAGTGACAAATAATTACCAATGTTAAATGTTGGAAGCACGATAGAGACCCCACTGAAGGCTGAATGAAGGCTTGAACTTGGGACTCAAATCTATTCCTTAATAATTATGTCACAGGGGGCAAATCACTAAACCAGTGAGCACAGTTTTTCAGTACCGCAAGGATAAATTGAGAACCGCAAAGCATTTTTCTGACCTTTCTTACCCTGGCGGACTGTGTAGAAAACAAAATTGATGAAATGTTTGCAAAGAAATTCAAGTGGCTGAGATATATACAGAGCTGCACAAGTTTGAGAGGCTAATAACTGCTTTCATAAAATATACAGCTTTTGACTTGACACTTTGACCTGTGTGTGATTATCATGGTAACGTGACTTTTAGTTTTCAGTATTTCAGTCCCTTCTGTGGGATACAAGGTCTACCCCCTGGCTCAACAGGGACTAGCACTGCGTGCTGTTACAATGAAAGCTACAAGGAGGTGCTTCTTTATTGCTTAATTATTCCCCCCAAAGGCAATTACTTATATCTTGGAAGAAGCAGGACTCTGTAGTGAAAACATGCAGACCTGAAAGCAGTGCATTAATTATTTTATTAATTTCATCTTTTTACATTATGGGAAACATTCATCTATTTACAATTTTTTTGTTCACACACAATCTAAGTAGATAAGCCTATGAAATTCCAATTCATAAATCCATAAAAATGTTCCCCATCCCTCCATCAGAAGGCTTTCAAATGAATCTTTTTTTTTTCCAAACCAAAATAATTTTTAAAAATTACATTTGGGAATTCAGATATGCTAGTGATTTACATTCCAGTTATTTAAAATATGCATCTAGACATGTTTTAAAAAAGAAATGGTAAATTCACAAGGATAAGGCTTAAATTAAAGTGGTAATGCACAGTAAAACATTAAGGAAACATCTATAAATAACAGAAATATATTACAAATAAATTAGTTCTATTTACCATTTCAAATATTAAAAATCTTTAATCCATTTCTTCATCTCTCTTTACAAAAAGGTTATGTGAATTGTATGGAAACAACTGCAAAAAATATAATAAATACTTAATTTCTTTGAACTTTTTTTGATGCGGGAGACAAACTTCTTTTTTAATTCCCCCCTCCCCAAGAAAATGCCCAAACATCTTTGTACCAAAGTTAAACAAAATAAGTAATTTTTCAGGGTACATACATTTTCCATTATGAACTAAGAAACATTTCTACAAATACATCAAAAAGAACAATGTAACGAAGGTTATGCTCATGGATGTCAATTAAAGGGGGCAAGTGGTTAACAAGCCGCTTGATGTGGGGTCACGTTTTAACATCAATAATTAGCTCTTTATAAAGTGTTTGTACAATTTGTGATTTGAAGGAAGGCAAAGGTCATGATGCCTGTAGGCATTTAGCTAAAAGATTTAAAATTCTTACCAAAAATAGCTTATGAATATACAAATACCGCTCACACGGACAAGATAAATAGGACTTCTCTTGTCTCTCTTTAAAATATCCTGGGCTAAACCAGTTTCCAAAGAAAATATTGTAGGATGATCTGGAATCGTATTAGAAATCTATTTCTTACTCCAAATCTTATCTCTACCTCAGGGCACAGAGCTGTTGTTGGGAACATGGGTTTTCCAATGGATACCACTTCCTTCACGTTAATCTGCGAGTTCCACGTCATTTGCAGGACTGAATGTGACCATAGGCTACCCAAGGTGGCAGTTGGCCTTACTTGATGCAAATTTTGTGTGACCTTCCACTGCTGCTAGAAAGTAAATAAAAGATGTATTCTTTTTAGAACCAGCAACACCTGAAGCTCAACATCTCTGTATGCTCCAATTTTACAAAGCACTCAAGGTGCTTTGTTCACCCTAGTTAAAAGTTTGTTTTGAGATAAGTTAGTAGCCCTTGTAAACCACAGCAGTAAACATTTGTGCCCTGTTTATAAAGATAGCTCAAAGCATCGATGGCTCTGAGAGGTAGCGAATTCCCTAGTGGTTTTTGAATATGTCCATGAAAATAGTTGTTGCCAGAACCCATCACCTCTCTTAATTTCAGAAATAAAATTAAATTAGCACCTGGCGATGCGAGTGTGTTTTTTTGAAAAAGCTTCTCTGGTGCAAGCGTATTTGATGTATGTTTTTAGAAGTCTTTCATTTTTCAATGGTAATTTCTAATACTTTAGGGTGGGAGCTGGACGTAAGAACGCCAGTGATACGTTAAGATCCCCATATTCTAAATGTATTGACTGCTATGAATAAGGGCATTTACGGAGAACTTCAGCAAAGTGCAGACTGCCCATCCAGCATGACTAAAAATGTAAATCAACATTCTCTGCCAAAAGCCTGGGTATCTTTCAGTGTTTGTGCGTCGTGACTGTTCCCCTCTCCTTGTGGTTGCTGAACCTTGCAAGTCAAATTTTTCTCACTACCTGGGACTTCAAGAGGAGTGGCAGCTCTTTGGAATGAGGCATGTCTATTGGGGTAGAAAATTTATTTTATTGGGTTGACGTGGGACACAATCCTTATGCTAGGGGATGATCGGACTGTATGGAATAGTGAGAGAAGACTAAAGGAAGAGATATGTCAGCAATATGAACTAACAGGTTAAAAGAGATGGCCGTATAGCATTCAAGGGGATGATGGGAAAATCCAAACTCTTCTCCGAAAACCACCTGGCTGCCATGTAGAGCGCTTCAGAAGCAGATGTGTACGTATACAGGTGTGTTAGGTAGGCTCCCCAGGATGGACACTAACAAATTAATAGAACCAACACTTTCCCCTTTAAGACCCTACTGCACAACAATATAATATACATAACACAATGAAGGTTGATGAAACATTTCAGGTCTAAAATTTTTTTTTTAATAATAGAACAAAAAAAAATCCCTATGTATATCTTAAACTCTCAGTGCTTCCTTTGCCTTGCCTTTCTTCATTTTATTGCCTTTCAGAATAGATTAATTTCCCTGAAAGAGCGAATTTACAATCTTCTGCTGATTGAAACATTTGAAGCAGTGATTGATGAAGCATCAGTGAGGCAGTTTGTGAGTGGTGCAGGTACTCCCAGCACCCGCAGATGTTGCTTCTCCCTTCCCCACTACACATCCAGGTCCCCCACCCCCAGCCCAACTCGGTCCCCTCTTGGTTTGTCACTCATGGATTCTGGTGAGATGGCGTGATTTCTGAGGTTGGAAATAAAGTGCTCCATCTGCTTTGCAAAATAATAACCATTGGGGAAATAAAGGGGGTCGGAGCCCTAGTTTCTTTCACGTGGAAGACGGTTAAGTCCCAAAGGATCCCCCTGTGATACTGGATTTCTGAAATACCCTACGGTTTTATATTGCTGAGCTCTAGGGACACACTAGCTTGAGAGAACTGAGGATGGCGGGTGGCTTAAAGGGGCTATCTCTACACAGGTGGGCTTGGTTTTGCCAAGAAAAGAAAGGGCTGCCTATCCGGATGAGGCAGGTGACGCATCAGTACAGGTGGCGAAGCTCAGTGAATAACATAGGCCAACTGGTCCGGGCAGAGGGGTGCCTGGGGGGCGGCTCCTGCAAGATGGACAACGACACCGCGACAGTGGGAGTCCCTGGGCTCAGAGACAGACGGGCTCGGAGGCGGAGGGGGCCCGGGGGAGGAGCGGGCGGGTCCTGGGGGTGCCGCCGCGGGGGCGCGCCCCGGCGCCTCAGAGCCGGGTCTGCGCCTCGGGGATGTAGATCTCGATGCTCTCGGCGCTCTCGGTGGCCCGAGTTCTGGCGGACGGACGCGGCGCCGCCTGGCGGCCATCAGGCGCTTGCGGGCCTCCTGGCGCTGCGAGCTCTCCAGCGAGCGCTCCCGGATCAGCGGCGCGGGGCCCTTCGCCGGCTTCTTTGGCACTGGAGGAGGGGCCCTTCTCTCCTGATCAAAGCAGAAGGTTCAGGACATTACACAGCTTCTCAGGACAAGCGTGGGGGAAACTGGGATACGTCAGTAGTTAGAACACACTCTTTTTTTTTTTTTTTTTTTTAACCTAGGGGTGGTTAGTTCTGATCTGCACACTGCATATAACTTTTTCTTCATTTTTCTGGCTTGGGTATTCAAAAGATGCGGGGGGAAAAATATACCTGTAAGCTTAAGGCCAAGGGTGAGGCTGGACTGCAGAACTAGGTCTCTCCAAAGAAAGGCTGTGGGTACTTAAAGGCCCCCTGCTGAAAGGCTGCGCACCCAGCACATTTAGTGGTTCTCTCTGGAGGCTCCAGACTCCTCCGGCGGCCAGAGATGGGCAAGGGTTGCAGCGGCAGCGGCAGCAGCAGCTTAGAGTTCTGCACCCCCTCTAAGGAGGCGAGGCAGCTGCTGTGAGCTGGGTTCAGAGTTTAAAAGCATCACCGCCCTCTCCCCAGACCCACCCAAACCTAAATAGCCAAATGAGGAGGAAGAGACGATAAGACTGTGTTCCTTTAGCTTTGTAGATGCCTCAGTGAGTTACGCCCGTTTGCACACCACACACAAACACACAGCAATATACATTCCAGGGTCACCCTGGAGGGAAGACATGGGTAATTCCTACACTCTCAGCTCCAAAACGGCTCTAAAACATCCTGCTGGGATGGCACTCCGGGGCCCAGAGAGCTATTCCAATCATAGGGACAGACATTGTGAGAACTTAACACGGGACTGAAAGAGTTCACCTGCCTTAGCAACAGCAAACTATAAAACAGGTATTTTCAAATGCCATTGCAAAGACAAAAGCCACTCATGACTTCAGTAGAAAAAAAAAAATGCCAGTGGGAAAGAAGGAAATCTAGACCAGAAAGGATTCTTATGAAAAGGATGATAAACTGAGGCTGCGAAATGGTCCATGTGAATGTTTTCATTTTAAATAAAATACCCTCGGTCCTCGTAAATAAATGTGAAATGTGTCATAAATGTGAAAAGTATCTTAAAGTGTAGAGTCTATGATTCTCCAAAGCGCATTCCTTGTGCCTTAACACTCATGCTGGTCACAGTGGTCCCTCCTTGCTGGCATGGGTGGAGCCTAGTTAAACTTATTACAGTGGAGTGGCCTGCAGGCAGTGTAAGGGAGAGTCTGGGTGGCCCAGAGGACAGAAAAGGAAGCACAGAATGCAAACAGTATTCTGCCAACTCTGATTGTGCTCATTCATTTTTTTCCCCCCTAAAGTGCATGGGACGATGAAAAGCTCTGATCATGGACAAAGTGTGTAAGGATTTAGAAATCAAGTTAACTAATGATTTACTGTGCGAATGTCAATAGTTACATATATCATTTCTTAGCATCACTCAGTTTGGACATTTAAAAATCTTCATTGTTGAGCCACTTCGTGTATATTTTTAAAAGTATGAATACTGATCATTTTCAGTCATATTTTCCTATTTGTGTACATTATATATTTTAACAATAATTTTTAAAAAATCAACAAATGGGAAATTAGATAGATGTGTGTGTACATCTGTAGTGTTTTTTTAAAAAAATAAGACCAATTCAAAAGCTTATCTAGCCGACAATTTTAAACACAGATTTAAAAAAACAAGCTAGATTAAGTGCAAATGTTTGGCTTCCCAAGTGAGAGGCCACATATACACCAATGGTACTTTGATGCTTAACACTAAACCCTCAGGTTGACGGGTGACAGAATTGGAAATTAGGGATAGGATGATAGTGTAGCTTTCCTGTCCCCTGGGACTGGATTTCTCCTGGGAGCCCACTGACCCTAAGAATCCTGATACTATGGGCAGCAACAGAATGGACTGGATTGCCATGAGCTCTCTGAGAGGTGAGGAGATCTGAAAAGGTCAGGGCCACCAGTGCTTCAGGGGAATAACCGTGAGTCATTTCTGTAGTTGAATCGCTTGGAACTATTTGACCTCAGGCCAGAGGAAAGCAAAACATTACAAAAGTGGTGCATGACAGCCCAGCCTAGGGAGGACATTGTATACCTGTGTGAGCCTGGTGGAACCACCATAGTCCAATGTGAAAATTGTAATTTATTAATTAAAGTAAAAAATTTGAGCCTTTATTTCTAAACGGTTGCATGAGGAACCCAGTGAGCAATATTCCCCAAGGCAAATAAACCAAAAGTAAACTCTTTTATAAAGGAAAAAGTCCAACATTTTTGATTACTGTGAAACTTGATGGTGTGTATATTTTTAGACTTGAACAACAGTGGTTTCTTTATTCCTATATTTATGAAATGATTATCAAAGTCAGTTAGCTTTCAGGGCTTATTTTCCTCAGAAACACATCCTAGGGCTGTAAGGAAGTTGAACTCTTGCTCTATGTAATCATGCACTGAATATGTCATTTATTTTAGTTTAAAAAGCAAAATGGAGGCAGTTCCTTCCAGTGACTAAAATGGTTTAACTTAAAGTTTAATTAACAAAAAAAAAGCCACATTCCCAATTTTCCAATTCACAAAGACAGGTTTTTCTTTAAAAATATGCCTGAAACATATTACAGATAATATCCCAAATGATTACTATGTAAACATTGTCATTACAATGAAATTAGTATGATGTCAGCTCCATTTCACATTGTAAACAGCAAGACTGAATGCAGAAGCCTATTTAGACTGTCCAATGTTTGTGCAGGTTTTTAAATGAACCATACAAAATCTACATTGTTCTACCTTCTTGTCAAGAGGATCCATCTGTTTCCAATTATTGGCCTTTAACTGATGGAGTTCATCAAATTTCATACTAATATTTTCTATGGACAACTGCAGCATGTCCCAGAACCCCGCCAAATCCTGGGAGGTGGGCCTCGGATGAGCATTAGGGTTCTGTACAGAGAAAGAAGAATATTCATGCTTTAGAGGCGATCCATGACAACAAGCACAGGGCCAAAGTAACATTTTCAAATACTTCAAACACCAGAAGGAGAGTGAGTTCCTTTTGGTTTTCAGATAAAAGTGGTAATTTTATAGTAATTTATAAATGGTTATTTTAAAAATTATACTTTCAGCTCTACTGAGGTATAATTGACAAATAATAATGACATTTAAAATGTACAATACGATCATTTGATATACATTGTGAAAGAATTCCCTCCATCAAGTTAAGTAACACATCCATTACCTCACATATTTACCTTTTAAAAAAATGTTTGGTGAGAACATTAAGTTCTACTCTCTCAGTGAGTTTCAGTTATACAGTACAGTGTTACCAACTATAATCAACATGTTATACATTAGATCCTCCGACATATTTATCTCCTAACTGAAAGTTTATACCCTTTTACCAGCTTCTCCCTATTTTTTCCACCCCTCAGCCCTCAGCAACCACTTTTCTATTCTGTTTCTATGAGCTTGACTTTTTTGTTTTAGAGGCAACTACAAATGGTAATTTTATATACACATCCATTTGACTTTCAAATGCCAAGGTTGTAAAACTCTTCTTTTGTAATGCAACATCAATCAGTACAGTGTATGGGGAGAGTAATCATTTGAAAATCCAGAATGTATGATCTACAATAAGATGCATATAAAATACCATATTTAAATGAAAATACCATCTTTGAAAAAAGTACAGTATATTAGAGTTGATATTTGACTACCTGCTACCTAACTTATTCAGAGAACAGATACATAATCTAAAATATGATTTGTTTTAATACTAATGTTGAGTGAAATACTAGGGAAGACAGATGAGGAGTAATAAAATATATGTTTAACAATTAAGATACTATTAATATAGGAAGTCATTTATCATATAAATACTTTGGCAAAATCATTTGGAAATGAATTTGTTTTAAACCAGCAGTTCTCAACCTGTGGGTCGAGACCCCTTTGGCGGTCGAACGACCCTTTCACAGGGGTCACCTAAGACCATCCTGCATATCAGATATTTACATTACGATTCATAACAGTAGCAACATTACAGTTATGAAGTAGCAATGAAAATAATTTTATGGTGGGTCACAACATGAGGAACTGTATTTAAAGGGCCAGAAGGTTGAGAACCACTGTTAAACTGACCATAACATAATATAGCAAATGTGAGAACACATATCTACACATACACAAAGAGTCCATAGTGATCCATTTGCTAGATAATATTGAACAATTTTTGGTATTTAAGGATTGGCTTTCTTTGCCTCCATCCATATGTCCCTCCAAGTACTAGAAAGTATGAACCACAAATTATTATGATCTAAGGCAGAAAAAACATAACTAAGAGAATGAAGGTGCCATGCTCATTGTTAATCACTACCTGCAGTAGTAGCTAAAGCATTAGATTGGTGGGAGCTGCCATATGTCAGATGTTTATAGCTGGGGTCAGTTTTGGTTACCTCTAAGTATTCAGGCAACTAAGACTATGAGACCTTATGCTGTATAATAACTTGAGGCCAGTTTCTTCTTTTAAAACCCACCCTCATAAAAAATGATATCAGAATTTCAGAATGTGTAAGGTCAGTGACCATCAAAATTAATGGGTTGGAAAGAACTTTTTAGCCCTTTGAATGAACTAGCATTATTTGTCTAGACTCAAAATAAATACAAGTAAAGATGTTTTTATAAACTTATAGTTCTAAAACTACCCGTAGTTCTGAAATTCATTGGAAGAAGTAAATTCTAAAGTTTGTACGTATTTGGTTCAGTATTAAATCTGTGCTAATGACACCTGAATTAATGAGTTTCTCTATAACATTTTGACTTAGTAAACAAACAAAAAAAATGTTTCTAAATATCTAGGTTCAGAAAGACAGATAATAGTTTGGACAAAGTACCTCTCAAATGGAGTTTATGGTCTCACAATATATTTCCTTATCTTATTGATGATCAAAAACTAAATTGCTCATATTCTGGAGTTCACTAAAGTCTTTTAGGTCATAAGCTCCATTGGCTAAATTGTTTCAGTGCACCAGTGCATGACATGATAGTTCAATAGGCAGAGTTATTTTTGACTCTGTATATTGGGCAACTTGTTCCCTCCTCACCAGGAACCTCTTTGCTCCCATATCATGAAAGAGATAGAAGAGGAAGCAGAGAGAAAGAGCTCAGGCACCCAGCCAGTCTCTGAATCAGTGGGTCATGTGACATCCCATGCACAAGAAGAAGTTGTAGTACTAGCCTTAGTCTGAACCAGGCCACTTAGGGCTCAGAGATGGTAAGGAGTGTAAAAAGATGAGGGGGGTTGGGTTCCTTGGTTTAGTTTTACTGGGGAAAAAGTAACTCTCATCCATTCATTCTGTGCCTGAGAGTCTAGATAATGTGTGGGTGTTCAAGTGTTCCCTTTGTCAGAGTAAGAACTCAAGACAGGAGAACTGGGTCTGGTTGTGACTAATCTTAATGTCATCCTTATGCAGCTTTGTAGACCTAAACAATGCCACTACCAGGTCACCATGCTTCCTGCTGCAGAGGAGGGAGAGCTGACTGGTCAGCCTCAGGTCCCTCCACCAGGGTAAGAATGCAGCTCAAATTCTAGGGGATAAGTAGGGTGGTGGGTGGATTTACAGGGATTGAGGTCAAAGAGACTGAGATTTGAATCTTGGTGCAGCCTCTTACCATGTGGCCCTAGTCAAGTTACTTAGCCTTTCCATGCCCATTTTTCTCAACCGTAAAACCATCATAGAAATAATGTCACAAGCTGCTCCATAAGGTCTGACACAGTGGGCTCTTGACCTTCCCTCCTGGGACATGGTTTGACCGGCCATCAATGGCCCTTGGCCAGCAGTGTGGTTCCGCTTCCGTCTACCTCTAACATGCTTCTCATATTTTGCCACCTAAGTTCCTCTAGTGGCCAAGGAATGTGAGCCCATTAGGAGCTAGGAAACATCAAAAGATGGCTTTAACAAGGTTAACCTTTCCTGGACATCTGCAAAATTTTCAAAACATTTTGTCTGCAATTTGATCTTCAAAATCTGCATAATATTAGTATTCTACTACATAATATACTTGCCCGCAGTATAATTCTTTAAAAAGGCATGCTCTGTGCCCTGCACTGTGTACACATTGGGCTCCAGGTATCTAGCCATCATTTTGAGAAGTATAGCTTTATGCGCGCTTTCTTACATTTAAAGAACAAAGAATCATGTTGATTAAGATGTGTGACACATTACCAAGTTCATGAATTAGCGGGAATTCTGTACCTGGCATGAAGTGAAGCTCAATAAAGTATTTGTGGTAGTCACTTATCAATACATTTACTAATATATATTATCTTATAATCCAGAATAGAATTTCTGGGAAGGTGAAAGAAGGATCAGGTAATTTTTGCTGAGGGAAGGGAAGACAAATTATAGATGGGAGAATGGTGAGTAGGAGGGAAGAGATAGCTCCAAAGGAAGATATCAAAAAGAAAGGCCTGGCGCAGAGGGATGGAGAGTACTAAGGTTTGCATGCTTCCTGTTTTTTCTTGGCCGAGTCCTGTCTAGATAAATCCTTTTCAGTCTTTATTAGTCCTTGTTAACAAGAAGATGTGGCTAAAACTCTGAAATCATAGTTTGGGTCAATTAGATTGCATATAAGAATGTTTTTGCTTTCAACAAGATAAACAAGTTGCTTTTCATTATCTTTGTTTTATACCCAGCCTGACCAACAATTGGCCAATAAAAGCTATTCTGTGGAATGACACTGTAGAGCTGGTGGTAGTTTTTAAAAAAAGGCATATTTGAGTGAGGAAGCGCTTGCCCCTGTATTAAAATGTTGCTGGCAGTGGTGCTATTGTGTCTGTTTTGCTTTATTTTGTTCTGGTGTGTCTAAGAAGGAGTCACGTGTCTCAGGGAGATCAAATCTACACTTGGTGATGCCCTTCACCTCTGGCCCTTGAATTAAAACAGAGAACTCTGATAAGGATATACGAACTGATGGCTATTTCAGAAAGAAACTCATTATCCAAAATGATTTTCTGTAATATTATTTTTGAAATACCAGGTGGTCCCTATTTTGGTAAGAATAATAAAATCAGAGATGCCATGTGAAAGCCAGGAAAATCGGGATTTTTCAGTTACCATAAAGCAGGAAATGGAGTTTTAACTTAGTTGGGTTTTTTCTTCTATGATTTTTTAAGCATGAAAGTATTTTTTAATTTTAAGAGCAGATAATAAGATTCATCAGAAAACTCTTTATTCCAAGAGAGTCCAATGGGCCTTGACTTGGTTCAAAATCAGGCCAATCTTGATAACACACTCTTCTCATGGTACTAGCAGGAAAGGGTAGTGATGGGGAATGTTACCTACCAGGTTTTCTTCACACAGTTCTCTGAACTGGTAGAATTTCTGGGCCATGAGAAGTTGGGCACTGCCCACTGCCGTTCGGATTTTCCCTAGAACTGAAAAGAGCAAACATACAAGGAGTTTACACATTCTGTCTCATTGTTGAGATGTAGTCTGGTAAAGCAAAGAGGAAGTTATGCTGCCATAATTCGGGCAAACAGCACACACACAGTGCTCGCACACACGTGCACACGGCCCAGTCATGGTCGTTACTCTGCTGGTCTATGTAACAGAGGCTCCTAGGTTAAAGCATAAAATCAACTGAGGGAAAACCACGTGCTCATCATGCATATTTCTCAGGGATCACAGCGTTTTCCACCACAGCACTGGACGCTACCAAGAGAAGAGGCAAACGGTTTTGTTTTGCTTTTTCCTTTTACTGCAAGGATGAATTGCAAGTGTTTGCCCATATAGTTATGGATTTACTTGTGTCAGCAATCCGGGTCTGCCAGTTTGTTTGTTTTTAACCCAAATCCAAACACAAGAAAAGCCATCCTGTCTCGGAGGGGGACCCCTTGGCACTCACCATGTTCCAGCCATAGCTTTCATTATTTTTCCGGAGCTCTGCCTCTGGTACTGTCAGGAAAGAGCCACTGGCCAGTGGAAAGACTTTCTAAGGAGTGAACATTTTCAGACTGTTGCCTGGGGAACGCCAGCCCCGTCCCAGCTTTTCCACTCCACAGCCCAATGTTATTGTTAACGTGGGTTTAATTCCCTCTGCACGGTGCTGAAACCCTGCCCCTTTGCAAGCCACTTCTTGCCTTCTGTGCAGTCTAAGGCGAGAACCTTTCAACCGACGGGCGTGCTGAGACGGGGCGGGGCGCTCCACGCCGAGCGGTCCTCAGGTCTGCATTGTCCCAAGGCTCTCCCTCCAGCCGGTGGGGACCAGGGCACAGCTGCACTGCTGGAGCCCTGCCACCAGGCAGCTCTCAACACGCCCTCCCTGCCGGGAAGGAAGGGGAGAAGGCACCCTGCTTGCTCATAGGAAACCAGAGGGGTGACTTCTCAAAGTGCACTTGGCCTGCTCAGAAATCCTCCCGGGGAGGCACACTGTAGGACTGAAGCAATGGTTTTGCTGTGGTTTTGTTACGGGTGTACAGAGCCTGAGACTCAGAATGGAATCAGGTCTCCTTTCTCGACCTCATTCCTCACAAAGTCTGAGGAGAAGGAAACAGAAGAAAAAGAAACTTCATTTTGGCCCCGGGTTTTCTAGAAATCTGCTTCTGTTTAAAACTGCCAGGCTAGCCAATGGTTTGTAATGCACATTAGTCATGGGCACTCCTCTAATAGTTCAGCATTCCCACACACATAACTCAGGGCGGTGATGAACTCTCCAATATGTCACCAGTCACGCCAAACAGCTGAAGTGCAGGAATTCGCCTACTCAGTGATAGCGAGGGGCCGCCCTGGACAGCCGACTGGCAGCTATTGCTCAGGGCGAAGTTTTTACTTCTTTCCAATTTGCTCACACTCTTTTGAGATGGCTAGTCCATTCCTCTCTAACGGATCGATCGGTTGTTGGAGGCCTCCTCTCCCTTTCTCAACACTCCAAAAGCAGAGGGACAGCATATGCAGACACAGGGCACCACAGTAGTTAAGAATTCAGGCCCTGAGTAGGCCAAGGGTTCTGGCTCCAACACTGGGAGCAGCCGTGGTCCTGGACAGTCACTTGATCTGTTTTCTCATGTGTAAAATGGAGCAATTGGTACCTATTTGTAGGGTTGTTGTTAAAATTAAAAGTGGTACTGTAGCCCTAACCGGTTTGGCTCAGTGGATAGAGCGTCAGCCTGCGGACTCAAGGGTCCTAGGTTCGATTCCGGTCAAGGGCATGTACCTTGGTTGTGGGCACATACCCAGTAGGGAGTGTGCAGGAGGCAGCTGATCGATGTTTCTAACTCTCTATCCCTCTCCCTTCCTCTCTGTAAAAAATCAATAAAATATATTTTTTAAAAAAGTGGTACTGTATGTGAACTATTTAGGTCAGTGTCTGACCTATAGCAAGCACTCAATGAATGCATATATCACCTAGGGCCAGGACATTGCACTCCCTCTAACTGTGAGCCCCACACAGAGTAGAGGAAACAAACCAAAGTCTGGATGATCCCTGGTTGCCTGGGATGGGTGTGTGCGTTGATGACCTGTCCTAGAGCTGAGACAGGTCTGAGAAGTGAACACGTGGCTTTAGGCCAACTCCGAGGTTCCTGAATTATCTTGCTGAAGGGGAGGATTCTGACACCAGCAATTTTCAGAATGAATCATGGGAGATTAGATCTAATACCTAAGTCTCCAATGGGCTGCCTGGGATCGCTTAGCTCCAGGCAACTGGCATAGAAACTCAAACAATTCTGATGTTCCTCAAACTTTGCACTGATTCTCAGTTACAGCCGAATACCTGCGCTATGTAATAGACTACCATAAGAGTAGCTAAGACGGTGATTCTCCGATGAGGAGAAAGAAGGGCTCCAAACAGTCATCCAGGCAACACCCAACCGTGGTGGGTAGGACTAACTCGGATTTCTTCTCAAGGAAAACAAGGGACATCGTTCTTCATTCAGCATGGTCTGGCCAGAACCCTAGATTTGGAGCAAAAATACCTGGGGTGGAGTGTGGCCCTTCTGTTTCCCAGGTTTTTGCCATCATGTTCCTTGAGTGGAAATTTCTTACTGGCTCCAGGATTATTTGCATTTCCTGGGTCCAAGTGATGGTCTTTTATTTGCATTTCCTGGGTCCAAGTGATGGTCTTTCCTGAGCCCAGGGTAGGGAGATGACGATTTGGGTCAGGAGGGAAACCCTGAACCGGGAGGGCGTGGGACAAGCAGATGATAGCTCACACTTCTCTGACCTCTATATTTTATTGATATTTTACAGAGAGGAAGGGAGAGGGATAGTTAGAAACATTGATGAGAGAGAAACATCGATTATCTGCTTCCTACACACCCCCTACTGGGGATGTGCCCGCAACCAAGGTACATGCCCTTGACGGGAATCGAACCTGGGACCCTTCAGTCCGCAGGCCGACGCTCTATCCACTGAGCCAAACCAGGTAGGGCGCATGCTTTCTTTTTCAGAGAATTAAAAATTCATTTTAATTTTTAGGGAAGAATTTCTAGTGAAGTTTGTTCCGTTTTGTTTGTCCACTAGACACAAACTTGGTGTGATAACTCTTTTCTCCTGGAAGTAAATTTCATATTTGTTACATATGCCTTAAGGAAGTACAAAACTAATAAACAGCATGTGGTAAACATCAATGGAAATAAACACTAGGAAAAATAAAGCTGAATGCTGGTAAAGAAATGAGATAAAGAAGAGTCATCATAATGTTATTTAGAAACTACTCTAAAACATTCCATACCATCCTTCAGCAGAGTGCAAAGAAAAGACTTTGATCAGGGATGCTAAGAAAAGAAGTATAAGGGAGCAACAGTAACTAAGCTGTGGGCTTTTCCCATGCGTATAAAACAGCCCACCCTGGTATTAGAAAGTTCTGGAAGAGGCCTAGAGGTAGTGCATCTTTCCAGGGTTTGCCTTGCATCTCACTATTTTACTGTAGCATGGCAGCGGTTAACTTCGTAGGGTTGGCCTGGCCCTCAAGGACATGGGCAAGAAAGCCAGAGGAGCCTAAAAGTGTGGGGTCTATGCAAAAGCGGGTGGGCAAGGCCAACCTTCAAATTATGTTTTCATGGAGCAGGGACAGTCCTTGTGGGTTCTGGGAATTCAATCATTCATTCATTCAGCAAATATTTATTAAGGGCACACGATGTGCCAGGCACTGTACTGGATGGTAGGATATGGTGATAAGAAAAAGCCTTGCCCTCATGGATTACATTCTGGTGAGGGGTAGTGGGAGAGACTGAAACAGAAAAACAAGATTTAAAGGTTTGGGATTTGCTAGATGACTTGAAATGATCAGATGGAGCTGAGTATGATTGAGCAATTCAAAGGACAGTGAATTCCTTAAATGGTGGTTAGAGAACATTCTGTCTTCTTGGTCTCTCTTAAGAAATGGAAAACAAACAAACAAACAAACAAACAAACAAAAACCATGGTTTGAGATGGTATCAGTTGCAATATGAAAATGGACTCTGGACTAAACAGCATGTTGTATAATTTTATTGATTTTTTTAGTTGATTGATTTGAAAGAGAGAGAGGAAGAGAGATTTGTTGTTCCACTTATTTATGTATTCATTGATTCATGTATGTGCCCTGATCGGGGTTCAAACCTGCAACCTTTGGCATATTTGAACGACGCTCTAACCAACTGAGCCACCCAGCCAAGGCAACAGCTTGTTTTAGTAGTCATCATTTGAAAATGCCACTGTTTTTTATTTGGAAAAAAATTAAAATACATGAAAGTAGAAAGGGCAAAATAGCAAACATCTATGTACATGTTCTTCCCTAAAGAAACAATTTTTAAAAATGCACTTCTTAATTTGTGTTTCTTTCCTTCTCTCTCTCTCTCTCTGCAATGAAATAAAGCCCTACAGATAAAGTATACGCCACTTCTGTCCCGTTAGCCTCCCTTCCAGAAGAAACCACTGGACTAGACGAACAGTCCAGCCTATCCCTGAGTTTATGAAGGTTTTCCCCTCGTCCTAGTAAGGTGACAGCTAAGGGTCGTTGGAGTGTAAACGAGAGAGTGATAGACGGGGGCAATTCCACTGGCACAGTTGGGACCCCACAGCTTAAGGCAGCAGCAGACTGTCTGAAGTCAGATGGGAGGTGCTGCGCCAGGGGGAAGGTGTGCTGCTGGGGTTCCATTTAGTTGGTTTCCTTCACACTCTGGTCCATACAGTCTTTCCAGATTGCTCACCCCGTATGTAGTTGACAATTTTTACCTCCCATCTCCCTTAAGGCACATTCCAGAATAATGATCTTTGCTGCATACCCAAGCATGACATTCAACCATGGGTTATACTATCTATTTGTGTAATAGTTCATCATACAATACGCCTTGCCTTGCTGTGTCACTCTTTTTATATCGGTAAGTCTGCTTCTCCCCAGGGGTTTTATTAGCACCGGCCAGTGCGTTTTTAGATCCCTTTCTCCCTTTCCTTT